TGCCAAGATTAGGTAAATTGCTATAGAGAAACCGTAACAGTTTGTGTGTATGGACGGGGCATTTGAGCACAATAATCTTTGGGAGGCTTACTTACCCTCTCTCCCCTTTAATATCAACAGAACAACCAAGTGTTCTGCAATCTTTTATAAGAGGGGAATTCAAAGGAAACCAGGTTTTAGACAACAAAGGTAAAAGCTCAGAATCTGTTTTTCTGACTTAAGAGAATTTTCTCAGTTCCTGTAGCAAAGAAACTGTGTTCTTGTGTCAGTAAATACCTTACACTAAAATGAAAGGATGTTATTTTAAGTTTTATAAAAGCCTAGACCCTAAATCCTAGTGACTTGCATCTTGTACTTTGTTCTTTTGACTAAGGGACAGGCTGTACTGATACACAAAGATGAAAAACAAGTTAATGAATTCCAGGAGAGATTAGTGTTATGACATCAGGCTCAGTATTTGGGATGAAAATACTTCTTAAAAGAAATAACAAGCAAAAAGAGCAAGACAACTGTAACATACAGATAAAGAAGAATGAAAGTGCATTCTTGTTTTAAGGATACTTAGCTTTCAAAACTTGCACTGAGGCACAGAACATATTGGCGAGTTACAGAGAAGCACTAGCACCCAACACAAAAAGATGGGTCAGATTTTTCTACCCCATTGGATTCTTCCTCTTCCCTACTTTTCTATTAAATATTTAAGATTTGTTTTGAGGATTCTGACATAGATTTTAAACAATTACAGAAGGGATCATTGTGCGTTACGGGGACCATGATGGTAATCTAGATGAACTACCTGGACCATCTAGATTAAAACAATTTTTTGGGGTAGTAAACTCCTCTTAGACTACATTTGACAGCAGATGGATGACTATTTGCACTATGCTCATCAGATTCACTGCCTGAAGGTTTTTAAAAGGATCCTCAGAAAGGAGACTTTCAGCTGTTTAAAGCATCTTCATGTGGCAGCATTCCTCTGACAAAGCAGAGGACTTGTAGGTCCATCATAAGACTATAGGAACATCACAGACATGATAAAAAGGGAATATTTCTCCAGTATGTGTCTGTAATTTCAGAAAATTCCTGCCACATCTCATAAAGCTTTAAGAAATACGACATTTATTTTATATCCCATGGAATATCACCTAACAGAACAATAAAACACATGCAGACAAACTGAGAACCCAACAGAACTCTAATTCACCACAGATTTTTCAGTATAATTATATTATATGGCATTAGCTCTGCATTCTTTGGGAAATAATTTTCTGTCAGGAGTTTATTAGCTTGCTTTTCTGTTAAACAAACAAACAAACAAACAAACAAAAAACCCTTATCTTTGGAGCAATAATACCTTATAGCTGTTCCCTATTAGATGAAAAGGAACAGAATGAGTGAAAGTGGTGAACACAGGCACGGAATGGAAGAAACCAGAACATTATGTAAAGCCCATCTCCTTGGAATGGCTGATCATGGGAATCATTAAAAACAAGATTATATTCCTATGGGAGGTATTTAGGGCACAATGTTTAGAAAAAGCTGGACTGGCAGTAGTTAATAAGGACTGACTACATGAGGTTTTTCAGAAAGTCTGTAGCACTTGAAACTATGTCAGACATTGCAGACAGAGCCTGTCCAATGTAATTCTCTCAGCTCTACTTTGCACACTATGACCTCAGCTCTACTGTGACAAATACTCCCAAAGGGCTTAGAAGACTGTTAAGGGAAAGATCAAAGACAAACTTCTTCCTCTTGGTTGCTGTAGCATTTATGTCCCCTTGTAGTGACTTCTACCTCTCAATGGGCAGCACCTAGTGAAGTCCTGTGCTTTCATGCTAACTTCTGCATAGACATCAACTTTGGGTTTATCTCTGTGATAATACCTCTGAGGGACTGACTGTGAAATGGTAATTCGTAGCCAAGAGACTATATGATTTTTTCTTAATGTTTTCTATAACTTCTAGCATTAAAAAAGCAGTATTTCATGAAGAAGGAAATTATTTCTAAAACAAATGGTTATTTGCTTCTGTTTGAGGAAAACATCTTCCAGGGGGAAAATAATTCAAGAATTTTTCATTATCTTTAAAACATATAAGAGCTATGTCATGAAAAGGTAAAAAAGGGCATTGTCTCCCTTGGCTGCCCTAGAAAGCTTATATAATAAGAATACTCAAAGCTGCTATAAGCTCTGTCTTAGCTTTGCTAAGGCTCAGCAAAGCAGAACGAAAGTATGGCTAAGGAAGCAGCAAATATTTTAGTCCCATATTAAAGTCCTGCTACAGCACTAGAGAGCACAGTCTTTTGGATCCCAGTATCTCTCATGCTTCTGAAACTCTGTTTCCACTACCACAGAAGGCCTCCAGCTCAAGGCAAAGTTCCAGGCTTCCCATTTCACAGTCTACCCGCTCCTGTTGCAGGAGTCCTCTGAGAATTTCCCAATGTTTTTCTATTCTGCAAGGATATACCTCTCATTCCTCTCATTCTGACCCCAAACTGCTCATACATCAGCCTTCCACTCTCCTATGCCTCAGACACGTCTGCACTTATCAAATCTCACCTCCATCATACTGCTCACAGAAGAGCTGGTGCCCAATGTAACAGATCACTGTTGGGATGGCAACTTTGTTTTATCAAAACAAATGGCCCAGAAAATCAATTAGGCTGCCTGACATGCCTTGTTCTTCTCAAATCCAGGCACCTGTTATTCACCTACATAGTGTCTTCTGGGTTATTCATCTGCATAGTCTGTTCTTATGTTTGTATTCTTATGCATTGCTTCAATTATTATTTATTCCTTAATTCATGCAGTGATTAAAATTACTCAGAAAGATTTACAATTCCTTAGCCGCTCTTTCTCCAAGGCATAGACTGTGCTCACCCTTCCCCTATCAGCCCTGAACTCCCAGGGTTAACCATTAATAGTTCTGTGATTGCTCCACAGATCAGCAGACCCGTGATTCTTCAGTCACACCACCCCACCAGTTTAAATGAGTAACTAGGACCCCTAATAAACTGGAGGGCACAGGTAGCTTCTGGCATGAACAGCTGGGGTTAGCTGGCACTGAAACCTTCATTAATTAAACCGGTGCCCAAGTCAACACATAGAACGAGTTTAGGGACCAGAAAAAGAATTAATTAGCTTCTTATAAAAAACTAATTTTATTTTTTTTTAAATAAATTAGTCAGATTCAGATAGGTTTGGAAATAGAGGAACATGATCTTTCTCTGTTGTTTTGGTTTTTATTTTTCAGGTGCATATGAGAAGAAATCATTAGATTTAGAAAAGCTACTTCTGCTGTCTCTATTTGTATTGCACCAGGGGACAACAAACAGCAGTTCCTGACCCACACATTTAATTTTCTAGTCCAGACAATCTAAAGCTATGGGGAAGCAAGTGTCACAGTAAGGTACATTACTGCTCCAAAGGACAAAGCACTTCATTCTTATGTTTGGTAATTTGGAACACAGTGCCTTTCCTAATAACATTGACAGCTGAGCTTAAGGAGGGCAAAGGTAGAGTATGAAAGGAATTGTTCTGAGGTACATTTTAATATAATGATTGCTGGTTAAGCAAGACAGTGCATCACTAGAATTGTGATTAGTCAGCAATACTCAGTCATTCATTGTTGCATGTAGTAGTAAAGACAAGATTTTAATTTGAGCAGATGCTCTCTCGAAAAGCAAATATTTCCACTGTAGCCTGCAGGGCCCTGCTCCTACCTGGAAAATCATGCAGGTAAATCACAGCCAAACCAAATGCCTCAGACGGACATTAAAAATAGTTTTCTTTTGCCACATAACATTCAACTGAATTCTTCAGGATGATAGTCCTGATAGATGCAGGTCCATCTGCATTTTTTTCTTCACAAATGGTGAAGTTACATTTAAATCTATCCCCTCACCCATTCCTGTGAAGTCATCGTAATGGCTCGCGTCATTAATATGTTCTCCTTAGGAACTGATTGTGTGATACTGTTTTCTCTGCCTCACGAGGACAGAGGAGAAAGCAAGAGGCTGAAGTTTTAGTGAGTAATCTTATTCAGATATAGAAAAAAAAAGATGCCAGGAAAAAGATATCTTGCAAAGCAAATTAGTTTGCATAATACAAAGAAGAGAAAGAGAGATGGCTTAAGGAAAGATTGTGCAAAAATTTTGAAAATTCCTTCTTTAAAATTAGCTAGAAAGGGATCAGTCTGCCATAAAATGAAATCTCCTCTCATTTTTATTTGTGATATATCCTAATTTGACTGTTAACAACCTGACCTAGTATGCCTGGATATTCATACACATTTTGTTGTGAATGATTCCGGTAAATTTCCTGCCCACAGATACTTTTCTAACACAGATGTATGCAGAATTTGAGAAGAGAAGCCACTTAATACAGAAATAGTAGCTGGATAACAGTAATGGCAACATTATAACACGGGTAGTAATTCAGAGTACAACATGTTCATGTTCTCTATATTACTCTGAACAATGAATGCATCAAGAAAATATGATCTCATCATTTGTGAGTGTACATCAGGTTAAAGGGTGAATTTATCCAAGCTCAGGTACATGATTTAAGTTTGAGTTTATGAGAAATGAGGATCTAAACCCACATATTTCAAGTCAAAGTCCACAGTATAATAACAAAAAAAAAGTGATTTGGAACTTTTTAATTATATCCTAGGGGAAAACATAGCACAATCAAAATATCAAAGAAACATTTTGGGTAAAAGAACCGATTTAACCAAAATGTTTGTTTAGATGGAGAGAAAAGAGAATGAATCTTAACAGACTCAAATTAATCACAGCGTTTTTGCTCTATTTTTCTCCCTTTCTTTGTTCTTATAAACAATATATTAAGAAGCATAAAACAAATTATTCCGTTCCAAGAGATCCAAAATGAAATATTTATCTTTCAAAACTCTATATCTCTCCAGCTGAATTCAGGATTAATTCTGAACAGGAGAAAAACAACATTTATAATCCTTCTCAGAATTGGATTTTTCACTTACAACAGAGTTTTCTGGCAAAGTCCACCACTGAGAGCCAGTAGCAAAATTCTGAGGTCCTTAAAATTGCAGCCTACTCTCACACTAGGGAATGGCATAATTACTGAAATAGCAAACTGGGGGAGGGCTCAGTAAGACAACATTCTTTTCACCTGCAAAGGATTAGGAAGAAACCAACCAAATCATCATTGCTACAACATCACTGAACTTCGGTTTCATTGAAGATCCTCAAACTACAGCTTTTGGCAAAAACGCAGGTAAATATTCAGTTTTTTCAGACCTGCCCTCAGTCCAAGTCTTTTTGAGTGCTAGCAAACCTGAGTCACAGTCTTTTTTTTTTTGAAGCAACAAAGCTATCATCAGGTCTTATGGAAAAACAAGCAACTATTTAGATTAAATGTGTAACAGAGTACAACTAGTGTTTATGGTTTACTTATTTTTTACCTACAGATGTCTTCTTGCAGCAGATCAAGTAGAATGAGAAATGCGTAGCAAGTTGGCAGAGTCAGTACAGAATTTGTTCTTTGCTTAAAGACAGAAGGAAAAAGGGAGTACAGAAATCATGTCACAACATCACCTTTCCTAAGGTCCATTACTTAATTCCACCTCAACAGAAAGGTTATATTTCAAGAAGCAGATGGCTCACACAACTGATGTTTCTGGAAGCTCTTCCATATCTTCCATGCAGTAGTGTTAAAGCCCAGATACATCTTCCTTAGGATATTGCTATAAGCATTACCTTTGTCATGTGTAGTAAAACAGCATTGTTCAATGCATGGTTGCCTTTCCCTGTAAGCCTTATATGAGCAACTTATAAGGCAAGGAAAATGCCTTCAAAGTCACTGCCTGTTCAGTATAAAAGAAGTAAAACACAACCTTCTTCTGATACTCTGAACATCTGAGTCTATTTAAACAAAATCAGAGGGATTTGCTGATTGAGATTCAAGTACTGAAAGGCTGAGTTTAATTAAAACAAAATGGGGAAAGAGTCAAATGTGCAAAGCCAAATCTGTTACAGCCAATGGCTGAATTTACCTCAGTGAAGAATTTTCCTTTTAAACTATTGAATTTTGCCTTCTTCACTTAAAACAGTTCCTTTTTTTGGTATAATTCATAAGCCATGATAAAATATGAAAAAGATTGTTATGAACCATAATAATTTGCATAACTTTAGCCCCAGCTGAGGAGGGAAGATCTCTATATTAACATCTGTAAGAATTCAAAGTAAGAACTCGAGCAAGGCAAAGCTTTAGAAAAACATAAGGAAAGAGGGGATCAAATCATTATCATTTCCATGTTATAGATAAAACCTAGAAAACAGCACTACAGGACAGCACCTACCACAGCCATGCGAACTAATGAACTTACAAGTCTTGTGACTGACTCATGACATGTTCTGAAATTAAGCCACAAATGGATTTAGTCATTTAAGTGATACTGATGAACCACATCAGCTACCTTCAACCTTAGAGCTGAAGATCTTACACTCTCCAGATGCCATAGCAAGAGTTAAAAGGTATCATGAATTCTCAATTGAGATTTATTAATATAAACTCTAACTGGTTACAATTTATATTACCTGATGTGAAACAACACACCCTAAAAAGGTACTGACCTCTCTGCTCAGTTGCTGCAGAAGCTCTCACAGTTACTGTTATCCATTGCTTATAAATAAACAGATAATAAATTTGCCAAAATGCAGCAACTTCTCCTTCTATCAAAAAGAAATTGAAAAGAAAAGCAGGACTAATTTCACTCTAGCTCAGGGCATGGTTAGGATTACTAGTTTTGTTTTTGTTTTTCAAATGTATTATTTAAATGCTAGTACCTAAGCACAGAGGAAATTACCTGGATCACCTAACAGTTCTTTCAAGTGTTTTCACATCTAAGCACAATGAAAAGCAACAATCTTTGCAGCTATACTGATGAAGACCCTAATAAATCCTTTAAAAATCTACTCTGAAACATTTTTGGTTTAGGTCTGTTGTATGATACTGTGACAATCTCTGTATTTCTATGTACTCAATGTACTGTATTGTAAATGGCAAGTAGTTTGAGAATGGTTTTCAGGTCAAGTTCCTAGTTCTTTGTACTTGCCTCCCTTGAAGTTTGCTATAGTCCTGTCTTGCCTCAGTCACATGGCTCTCTTTCTGAAAGTGGCTGCACTCAGGTAACGCTCATTATTATAGGATACAGAATGTCATTCATTATTACTGAGAAGGCACAGTCTCATCTAAAGTAGAAAACATTGTGACAGATTTTATTCTTTGTGAGAAACCATTATTGCTTACTTACTTACAAAGTTTCCTGGAGAATTTTTAAAAAAATATCGTTGTTCACTATTTGTGTTTTCAACACACAGTATGTTTATATGTAATATTTTTAGTCCTGTAACAACAAAATATTTTCAAGCAGATAGCTTTGACAGATAGATTTCCGTGAACACAGAAGTCCTCATCAGTTTATTATGTACCCTAACAAATGAGTTTTGGCAATAAAACTTTTAATTTCCTGAAGCTACAGATGCATTCACTTTCACCATAGCACACCATAGCACTTATTCTGCTTTTTGTGTGCCAGTTTATAAAAATGACTGTGTAGGTTTGCCTGCTGTAAAGGAGACAAGATGTGGGCATGGAAAGTAAAGCAGATGGATGCAAAGGAAATGAGGAGAGGTAAAGAGGGAGACAAGGTTCAAATGCTTGGAAAATAAAAGAGCACAGAAACAAATAAATATTTCCAAGACACAGAAAGTGCCTGATTCTTGTTTTTGTTGTTTTCTTGTACTTTTTCTTGTGCTTGGTGAGGGCATTGCTTCTACCTGAGAAAATAGGACTGACCAACAGTCTGTTCACTTGCTCAAGTCAGACCAGGTGGGTGCTGAACAGGAGCTGTGTCATTGCCAGGTTCTCATGAGCAGTATCATGAGGTGACTGGTTTCCTCCTTGTTTGGAATATTTTACATTAAGATGGTTAAATCAGAGCAACATCTCCCAATTTTCTGTATTCTGAGGATTCTGGGATCTGTTCTCTTCCCTACCCAAAAGTTTGCCTACCTTTTACTGGGCATGAGGAGAACAGCAAGCTGGTCACAGCTGCCTCCTCCTGCCTGCCAAAGCTGACACTGCCTTATTACATTGACCTTAAGAAACAAGGAAAAGAAATCAGGGAGGTTTTACTACTCTCCACTGATGTGTTTCTCTCGTGCTGTGCTGTGAATAAATGAGCTCATTTTGAAATTAGTCAGAGAAAAAAGGCGTGTGAAAGCTTTGAAAGTGAGTAAAGAAATGAGCAGAGATGAACCCAGCTGGAGGTGTGAGCACCAACCATTCTCCAAGATCATGACTGCACTCGTCTGGGCAAACAGTGCCTGCAAATTAGGGACACATACTTCAATGAAAAGGCTCTGAAATTTTCATTTTAAACATGAGCCCTAAACAAAATTATGAGTTTCATCACCTCAGAGAGACTAATACTGTACCTCAGCCGCCATGACCATACGTGAGCACTACAGGAGCTCTGCCTGAGCCCAGCACAAAATACACTGGTGATTAAGAGACCCTCACAGATGCAAACCGGCCAGAGGAACCAGTTAACAAGTGATCTGTGGCCACTGCAAGGAGCAATTCAGTAGGTCTGAAGTCCTATGGAAATATCAGCCCTCTGTGATTTGAGAGAACAAGGGATACTTTAAAAAGCAAATAAGTAATAATTTACAGATCCTTTTTTTTTCCCAGGGAGTACGAATCAGTTCAAGCTGTAGTTTGTCAGTGCATAAGAGCTTGATAAGAAACAAATCTTTTAAAAGTTGAAGGATTTCACTACAATCATGAGAGTGTGATGTTGGAGTTGTTTTGTAGCAATGGGTAATGGTGTTTACACTGCAGGCTCCAGGGAAAGGACAGTTGGCATTAACCATTGCCATACAAAATGCAGCTTGGTGAAACAACTCCTGAAAATTCCTGCTTGACAGGTATAAAAAAGGGCAGGGGAAAGCATCCTGCATATCCCTGCCAAATAGTACTTGGAAATTGCTGGACTGTCTCAAGACAGTTACCTCTGAGGAGATCCTACCAAGTTCAGAGAATAAAGTTAAAAAAGAAGACAAGAAAAGTAAATAGAAAGGAAGAGAAGCATCAGCAGTGAACAGCGAGGCCGACATAATACACTTACTGCTATATTAAACATGTAAAAGACTGAAGTTAGAACTCGCTGGCCTTCATTGACATCAATGAGCTTTTCATCAGCCCCTTACTGCAAATGTGTTTTAAAATGACAAGGAAATCATAGAAGTGACATTATATAATTGTGTTTAGAGATAGAATGTGGCTTGTAAATATCTTCTATGGCTTTTGGTAAATATCTAATCCAATTAAAAAGCTGAATAAGCCTGGACTGTATTTATAAATTCTAAATATTCTGCCAGAGAAGTTGACAGTGATGATGTGACCTTGGCAACAAGAAAATCAAGGCCATATTAGACGCTATTCACAGGCAGTCTCATATTTGGAATTGGGGTATAAATCAGTATAGGTTCACTGACATCTAGAAAATAAGGCAGATTAACACTGGCTGAGGACTTGACCAACAGTAACAACTATTCATACTGGTCACTTGGGGTCTCATGTTTCTCCCAACAACATTGGCAGCAAAACTGTAGTTTTATAGGGGGCATTACTAAACCTGGAGTCCTAAAAGTCTTCCTTAGGGACAGAGAAGGGAACATATACATCTGGTATTTTTCTGACTTTTTAATGCCTTTCCTATTGGTCTTTCATAAAAATTTGGAGTGGCTAAAATGACTTCTGAGAAACAATTCTACAGGAGTCTGGAAGCCAGGACCTTGATTCATAAAACTGCACTGAAATTAAACAAATTACACTGGCAGATGTGACAGAAGGATCTGCTGTAATGTTTAGTATCAAGCTGCTTGTAGAAAAAGTATGCCAACTATTCAAAATAATAAAATGAGGAAGAGAAAAAAAATTAATAGGTCATAACATAAACAGTGTTCATCTTACAACCCTGTGGGAGTTGTAAGATCTTTACTTCCATTTGGTTAATTTGGGAAAAGCAACT